AAAGAGTCTTCACCTTTTTCCATGATACATAGTGACATTTGGGGTCCATCTTGCACTCCTACCATTACGGGTGCTCGTTGGTTTATAACATTTATTGATGATCACTCACGTGAATGTTGGGAATTTCACATAAAGGAAAAATCTGAAGCCGAGAAAATATTTCAAAATTTTTACTCCATGGTGCTTACACAATTTCAAAGAAAAATTCAAATTCTCCACACCGACAATGGCAAAGAGTATTTTCATTCCATTCTTGGCAACTTTCTGCTACAAAATGGGATCATTCATCAGTCTTCTTGTTCTAACACTCCTCAACAAAATGGCATTGCCGAAAGGAAAAATAGACACCCATTGGCGGGGGCGGAGCCAGAAATTAAATCCAGGAGGGGCACAGGGTAAAATAAATTAAAAAAAATTAATAAACATGACAATAAATATAGATTCTTCAAATCAAGAGGCAAAGAAGAAAAATTACTCAAAATATATCAATCAATGTGTCAAAGATAAATAGTTAACAAAAATTTTAAAAAGGAAAGAAAAATGAGAGAATTTTGAAAGGGAAAAAAATTAGACTTTGATTCAAAAAGGAAAATTTGACTTTTTTTAAGGAAATTAAACAAATTTAAAAGAGTTACAAAGAGAAGGAATACAAAATTTAAGAGATAATTTTAGAAAATAAAAATTTTAGGGGGGGGCATTATATGAATTTTTTCATATACACATATAAAAATACATAAATTTAATATATGTATTATAGTAAGTGGAGCCAAGCCAGGGGGGGCACGTGCCCCCCCTAGGCATACACTAACTCCGCCCCTGCCTATTGGAAGTTCTGGAGTTGCTAAACAATATTGGGGAGAGGGTGTCCTTACTGCCTCTTACTTAATCAATCGCATGCCAACCCGTGTTTTTCAGTTTCAAACACCACTTTCTGTCTTTACCCAATCATTTCCCAATGTTCGACTCTTTACCTAGTTACCCCTAGAAAAATTTGGGTGCACTGCCTTTGTCCATAACCACAGTCCAAACAGAAGCAAACTCGATCCCCGAGCCTTAAAATGTATCTTCCTTGGTTACTCCCCAACTCAGAAAGGTTACGAGTGTTATGATCCTACCTCTCGCAGATTCTATGTCAATATGGATGTCACCTTTTTTGAAAATCAGTCTTTCTTTCCGACAACTTCTCTTCAGGGGGAGAATCATACGCGCAAAGATAAGTTCTGGAAAGTTTCATTACCCATGTCTCTACAGCCTTCAGCTTCACCTCTGTCTTCGCCCGCAACTGAACCAACAGTGACCACAACACCAAAAGGGGTGTCACCGCATGTTGCTTCACCAACCGAGCTCCGTGTTTACTCAAGATGACAACCACATTCTAAAATAGTAAACGACTTTATCTCTCTGTATGCCTACGAGTCTGAACCAAATGCAGGTTCATCAGGTACCATTTCTCCCATTCCTATGCCTAATTTGGAGTCAATAGATAACCTTAATCTACCCATTGCTCTTAGAAAAAGGAATTAGAACCTGTACACAACACCCCATTTCCAAGTTTGTTTCATTTCACAGACTGTCCTCCTCTTTTAAAGCTTTTGCCACTAATTCGTCATGCCTAGAAATTCCCAGGTCTATACAGGAGGCTCTAAATGTTCCTGAGTGGAGGAAAGCTGTTTTGGAGGAAATGCGGGGCCTTGGAAAAGAATAAGACTTGGGAGATGGTTGATCTTCCAAGAAATAAAATGCCTGTGGGATGCAAATGGGTGTCAAGTACAAAGCTGATGGATCTATTGAAAGATATAATGCAAGGCTGGTTGCGAAGGGCTTTACACAAACATATGGTATTAATTATCAGGAGACATTTGCACCAGTGGCTGAGATGAATACAATCAGAGTTCTGTTGTCTCTGGCTACAAATTTTGATTGGCCTCTTCACCAACTTGACGTAAAAAATGCTTTCCTAAATGGGGAATTAGAAGAAGAGGTGTACATGGATTTACCTCCTGGCTTTGAGAAGAAACGTGGAAGTAATAAGGTGTGCAATTTGAAAAGATCTCTCTATGGATTGAAACAATCTCCACGGGCATGGTTTGAGAGGTTTACAAGTCTATTCTGCAACATGGATACCTCCAGAGTCAAGCTGATCAAACACTCTTCTTCAGAGACATGGAAGATGGTAAAATCACTATTCTTATAGGGCCCGTTTACTAACGCTTTCACTTTCTTACTTTTACTTTCTTCAAAAGTAAAATCATAATTTTACTTTGTTGAGATGAAATAGAAAGTAAAATGATGTTTAATAAGAAGATTTTATTTTTAATATTTTGAAAGTGAAAAACAGAAAGTAAGTTTAATAATTTTAATTTTGCTTTCCTCTTGTCTTTCTCTCTAATTTTTTTTTCTCTCTCTCTCTCCCTAAGATATATATATATATATATATTTTATCTGGGTTTGATTTCGTCGACAAGCGATACGGGAACAAGCCCTCTTTCTTCTTTCCTCTGAGGTTTTGAAGCAGCAGGTCCGGGAAACCTTTAGCGAATTCCCCGGCAGGCAATTGCAGATGAAAACAAAGCCGGCGACCACATCCTCTCAAAATGGGTCCTTTGCTTTTTGAGAAGACCATCAGTCATAACAAAGATTGACACCTCACTCACAATTGAAACTGGCTGACTTATGTCAATCAGTGAAGGAAAAGCTTCTTATTCCTTTCTTTTCTTGCAATGTCCGGATCCTGGAGCAGATGCACAAATGGTCATTTCCACCGCTCAATCGGTTAGCTGGAGTTGGTTTTTGGATTGTGATACTCAACTTGTGCTCATAACTTAACTCTTCTCTGAAATGGACATAAAGATTAGGGCAAAGCCACGTTCCGGACACACTGCACCGACTAGTGTCACACCGGCAACTCACCAATTTCTGAGCCCCATGGCCTACACCACCACTCCCAAACATCCCCTTTGCATAGTTTCTTACTGAAGATCGGCCAAACGAAGCATTGGAAGAACACCCACAAGCAATCAAATCCAACCCAGTTCGACCAAATTCAAGATTTTGGCATGTCATTGACATCATCCTCAACAATCTCCAGACAAAGAAAACACCAAAATCTTGAGTCTAACTGAAAACCCACCTCAGAAACTTGCTCAATTTGCCATAGAAATAGAGATGATGAAGTGCATCAGCCTCGTCAATCTCTCTCTATATACTATTTGCCTATGCCGAATCCATGGAAACCACAAACTCTCTCCCTCTCCGATGCCAGAATCCACGGACACGGACTGGGAATAGAACTTTGGAGTATGAATTGCTTGTGGATGCCAATTTGGGTCTCCCTCTCCGATGCCCAATTGCCGGATTCCTTGCACGCATCGTCACAGCCTCGTCGCCGTTTGGTCTGCTGGTAAGCTCAGTCCGGCCTCACTTGGAGTCACTGTTTGCCGCCCCCGTTCATAAACTCTCAGCCAAATTGGTTTGGCTGAAGGTTAAACCAGTAGAGAGAGAACAAATCTGAGTGCTACAATAAAAGGAAGCAAAAGGAAATAATTCCTTCCAACAGTAGAAAAAATAGAGAAAGTAAGGATTTTTCACTTTCTCTTCTCTTCACAAAATTAGAAAGTACTTCCTTAAAGTTGAAAAGTGAAAATATTTTACTAAACATGATTTTCACTTCTGATTTTTATTTTAGGAATTGAAAGCAGAAATCAGGAATTAATTCCTCTTACTAAACAGGCCCATAGAGTATGTTGATGATATAATTATGACTGGTAATGAGAGTGTTGAGATGGAGATATTGAAGCGGATTTTGGCTGGTGAATTTGAGATAACGGATCTAGGCCCTTTGAGATACTTTCTTGGTATGGAAATTGCGAGGTCCAAGAAGGGAATATTTGTCTCACAAAGAAAATATACCCTTTGACTTACTCAACGAAACTGGTTTGCTTGGTAATAAACCCGCTGAGACACCTATTGATCCTAATCACAGACTCAATAGTGAAACCAAGGGATGCCCTGGAGATAAAGAGCAATATCAAAGATTAGTAGGGAAGCTGATTTATCTCTCATACTAGACCAGACATTGCATTTGTGGTTAGTGTAATCAGTCAATTTATGCACTCTCCAGATGAGAAACATTTTGAAGCAGCTTACAGAGTTCTAAAGTACTTGAAGAGAACTCCTGGGAAAGGTTTATTCTTTGAGAAGAATAATCATATGCAGGTTGAGGCATACACTGACGCTGACTGGGCTGGTTCAGTTAGTGATAGAAGATCAACTTCTGGGTATTCTACATTTGTTGGAGGAAATCTAGTGACTTGGAGAAGTAAAAAGCAGCCTGTGGTTGCAAGAAGTAGTGCTGAGGCTGAATTCAGAGCAGTTGCACAAGTAGTTTGTGAACTGTTATGGTTGAAAAAGCTACTTAAAGAATTGAAGGTTCCTGTGTCTAGTCCTATGAAACTGTACTGTGATAACAATGCAGCTATAAATAATCCTGTTCTGCACGACCATACTAAGCATGTTGAGTTGGACCGCCATTTTATTAAGGAATATCTTGAAAGGGGTGTGATTTGTATGCCTTTCATTCCAACCGAAGAACAACTTGCTGACATTCTCACGAAAGGATTACAAAAAACATCTTTTGAATCAATAACTAGCAAGCTGGGAATGACTGATATCTTCAAACCAGCTTGAGGGGGAGTGTGGAAGGAGTCAACGATTCTAAGATTTTATACAGTTGTGTAATGTACAACTATGTATTTATACAGCTGTGTAATGTTCAGCTATGTATTTTATTTATTGTACAACTAGGTAGGATCAGATCTGTTACCATAATTGTAGGAGTAGATTACTATTTTATTAGCTGTAAATTATCTTTAAATAGGCTGTAATCTCTTGCCATTCGAATATGAAAAAAGTATTCTTCTTCCTGTGTTGTGTTCAATTACATAGCAATGTTAACATTCAACTAGGCTGAGGAAAAAAAAAAGTTAAAAAAGAACAAGTACCTGCTGGAGGTCCTGATCAGATGCAGTAGGGTTAACAGATGTTTGAACTGCCACAGGTCTTGCAGAGCACAAAAGACGTCTAACCTACAAAATTTGTAAATAGCAATCAAGTAGAAAGATGAGAATCAAAATCTAAGTCAAGCTTCTATAGGAATCTTAGCTAGAAGAAGGGCATAATGATATAAATTAGGAACCAACTAACCAATGAACTCTTGCCTGATAACAATTAACTTGGGAGACTCTTAAAAAGTAAACGATATGTTGAATTCAAATGACCATTTGAAGAATGGTTGCAGTCGTAGTCAACACCCCAGTGACATACAAAAATGATAGTGAAGATTGATATAATAATTTCCACAAATGGTGTATCAAAAAGAAAAACATAATTACAAGTAATATTTAGACAACTAATGAGACAATTATCAATAAGGACCTCATGAAATGGAGAACAAGAAGAGTGATACTCTGACGCTTGGACAGAGCCACAGGGGGATTGGTGGGATCAAGTAAAAGCACTGGAATTACAAACACAATTTTTTTTTGACAAGTCACTGGAATTACAAACACATTACTGATGAAAAATCCAAAAGTGTATTATAATTGACCTGTGTTAATTCTTAGGAAAGAAAAGGCGTGGGTCAGTACTTTATCAGAGTTGCAACAAATTTCTATAAAATAAAAAAAGGCCATTACAAATGTAGTCCCTGCTAATTGGAAGTGCTAGGACAGACTGAGTACAATAACCTTTGCCAATATCATTTGCACAAAGTCAATGCTCAGAATAGAACTCGCTTTCTTACACTTGGTAGCTCGAACAATTAGCATTACAACAAGCAATGTTTCCCTTTTAATAAAATAATAAATCAATTTAAAATCAATTCAACAAACAGTTCCTTCTTTGTTTCGAGTTGCAGTTTAGTGCTTTTGTTTTAAAAATTTTAAGCATCTAGGTGTTCCAGAAAAAATCCAAGCATTTATGGAATCAATTACTTTTTTTCAAAAAAAAAATTAATAAATTAGGTTTCAGTTCAGAATTTTAGTTTTTTTTTATTTTTCTTTTTCTTTTTTTTGTATGTTTAGTGTTCACTTTTTTTGCACTATATACATTTGAAATATCATAATAACGTGCTGTAACGGTAATTTTTGTTATAAAAACTCAAAATTAATGTGACCATAAAATTGTTATATTTATCCACTGAAAGAAAATCCTAGCATGACCCCTGTCTGCGGATATTGAACCCACAGAAATAAAATCCTGGCTCTGCTCTTGCCATTTGATATATACTACAGGTACTATTTGGCAATATGCCAATCCGATCTAGCAACCATTTTGAGTCTATATTAAAAACTGCAAGTGTTTGAAGTTTAAGACAGGTATGCATTTATTCGTTGGTGACTATTTCCCTAATTCAACCACCATATGCTCTCCTTATTTAAGCTATTACCCAAACAAGTTAAGCAATCCTGATGTGCAACTTTTCAACTTAAAAAGTGTGTGCATCAAGGAATGAAGTGAAGATGTGAATGCCATCCCAATCTTCAGTAAGCACATTAAGCATGACAATCATAAAAACAATCTTTTATATGAAAACCACAATTTACAGCTTCCTTCATAAAATGTTTTTCACATCTTACTGGCTTCATGTAACAAACCGCAACAGACCTCATTTAATCGCAGATCACGTCCATACAGCAACTGTGTGCTAGAGTTAAAGATATGCTCCATTCCATCTGTGGTAGATCCATCAACAGAATCGGTATCCTCAAACTTGGTGTTCTCCGATCCAATTGTGTCAGAAATTGAGGAAGGAATCGTCACTGGATGCAGATGTAGCATGTAAGGTGTAGACATGGAAATTAAATTCACATCAGTTTGGGGTTCAAGTTCCTTGGATTTGTTAGAATGTCCCAAACATGACAATGACAAATCTTCTCGACCAAGAAGAATGTATGCAGCAGCAGGCCAATCAGAGGGAGGAGATTCCCGGCACTTATCCAATGCCTGTGTATTCACAAAGAAATATTGTTTTGATGAATTAGTAAAGTAAATCACTCATTAAATGATTGAGGGAACCTAAAAAGCATCGAGGTAACTCCAAGGGCAATCCAGTAGTAGCACAACGGTGGGCTAGATAATTAGTTAACACCTACCACTGACCACAAAAGGTAGGTGAACAACTACGACATTGAAAGCGGATAATAATTATCATTGTTGCAAGAGGTTTTAGGTGCAAATAGGTACACTGTAGCCAACAATCAATTTCTGTGACTATAATGCTAACAAGTATGTTTCAATAGGAACCGGATCCTACTTCTCCCCATTTAGGAGTGGCAGATCGCAGTACAGCTAACAGCCGATGGTCACAAATGCCAACCATCACAACTCCATGATACACATCAATTGGCAGTAGCTGCTGTAACCATAAGCAACCAATGGGTGCATTATAATGATCCTACCAATATCTTAAAAATAAAACTGTAAAATGCTTCCCTAATTTTTTTTATATTTCACAGCATATAAAAATAAAAAATATATATAAAAAAAAGGGTACAAACTATACACACCACCTCCACAATATCAAAATTCACAAGCTACTGAAACTTAACTTACATGTCGCAGAGGAAGAGAGACACCAGCAGGCAGCAAGTCTAGCTGTGGCAATCCAAATCTCTCCCCAACCATCGCCAAGATTGTTAGTTCCTCATAAGTACAAGATGATCCAGTGGCAATGTTACAGGAAACACCAGATGACAGCTTCTTCCCCGACTGTTCCGCACCAGTTAACAGACTATAGAACGAGACTATCTTTCGGGCCCAGCTCACAACAGAACTCCCATCTTTAAATATTAGAGGTGGAAGGTCACTAGTATTAGAAGAACTACATCCATGAAGCAAACAGCTTTCAAGCCATCTAAATAAACTGGGCGGAGTTTTCTGGGAAACTGAGGTCTGGCACATCCCAAAGTTTTTGGAAAAACCAGGAAAATCACGAATATAATGGTCCAGATAGCTTCCCTCAGCCAGATATTCAGCTACATTACATAATAGAATTGCAAGAAGACGCAAATCCCTACAAGATAAAGTTTATATATTATGTTCAGAGCACAATAGACAACATAAGTTGAAAAGTGTTTACAAGTTGCAACATTAAACCAGAGTTTGCTCCCTCGATTTATGGAAGAAATCATGGACAACAGTTTTGCAAGTCCTGAGCAAGATGATAACATTAACGACAGAACCATTTTAGAAGTCATTTCAACTGAACTACGTCTGCCAAAGTTGCAATTCATATCGGTGGTGAGAACTAAAAGGTATAGACACATACAGGATATGAAATTGACATAATACAAATAGGTTGTAAGGCCTATAAGTATAGGATATGACTAGGGGTGGCAAAAAATTACCCAACCCATCAACCCGCCCATATCCGCCCAGTTAAAAATGGATATGGGTGAACCATTTTACACTCCGGGTCAAAATGGGTCAGAATAAAATGACCCTTAAATTTAATGGCTACCAATTTTACCTTCTTATTATCAGGAAGGTCAAGGAACTCAAAGATCCTTTCAACTTCATTTAACCAGTCCAAAACTTCCTCCGGCTGCTCTTCCCCAGTAAAAGTTGGAAGCTCCACCTTAATATGTAGATCTTGATCTCTCTGAAAGTTATGATTACCGGCTGCCTTGCATATGGTAAAACTCCATCTACATCATCTGAAAATTCTTCTGTAGCTTTCTGAAATCTTTCTACAGCAGGCTGGTTCCTCCAATTTCCACGTTGATACATTCATTTGATGTCCCTTTTGTCTTCCAACAGTTGGATTAGGAGGGCCAAGGATTCCTGATTGCTCCAACCTGGTGCACAATTGATTAATTTGTTGTTGCATTTATTGCTACATTTGCCGCAGATTCTCCAAATCTTCTTTTGTAGCCACATTACCAGCATTTAGTGCTTCTGTATTGCCCACTTGGTTGTTTCCTTGCCCAGCAATAGATCCGCAGTATTCACAGATCTTAGAGGGAAGGCTCTGATGCCACTTGAAGCAAACAGAAAATGATAGAAGTCTTCTTACGACAATAAGCAAGACTAGGGTTACTCCAATCACCGTCGGAGCCTAGATTTCTATAGGGAAATATGGGGGAAAGCCTCAAGAATTGTTTTAACTTGATAATAATCTCAAAATATATTGATAAAGACTTGATTGGAACTGATAAGAGGGCTGACCCTTTTATACTAAAACTATTAATGACACTTACTTTCTCTAGACTGACTTTCAAACTACCCAAAGAGCATTAATGACAGCTTTTACCATTCCCATTACATTTTCAGATTTCCCAAACCATAATTAAAACTTTGACTACACTTTCCTAGACTATTAATTTTTATTTGCATCATCTTCAGACTTCACAAATGGAGTAGAAATGTTCCCACTCAATATCTTGTCGCAAATAAAGTGACAGTCAACTTCAATATGCTTGGTCCTTTCGTGGAACACTAGATTAGAAGCAATGTGGATAGTTGCTCGATCATCACAAAACAGCGAAACAGGAGTTTGAACTCCAAGACCAAGCTCTTCAAGAAAATGTTGTAGCCATGTCAACTCACCGGATGTATGAGCCATTGCTCTGCTTCAGCACTAGATCGTGGTACAACTATCTGCTTCTTACTCTTCCACGTAACAAGATTGCCTCCTAAGAAAGTGCAGTATCCTGTAGTGGATTTTCTATTTGAGAGTGAACCAGCCTAATCAGAATCTATAAAACCTTCCACCTTAAGGTGCCCATTGGATTTGTACAACAACCCAAGACCTCGAGCTTGCTTTAGATACCATATAATGCGAATAACAGCATTCCAATGTGACACCCTAGGAGCTCCCATAAACTGACTACACTAACCGCATAAGAGATATCAAGCCGAATTATAGTGAGATAAATTAGTTTTCCAACCAGCCGTTGATATCTGCCAAGGTGGTTAAATAAATCACCGACATCAACTAAAAGTTTTGTGTTCAGATCCATAGGGACATCAACTGGTCGACCACCTAACAAACCTGTTTCTTCCAATAAGTCCAACACATACTTTCTTTGTGAAAAACTTATACCTTTCTTCAATCTAGCAATTTCAATTCCCAAAAAATATCTAAGTTTACCCAAGTCTTTGATATGAAACTTATGTTGTAGGAACTCCTTCAATTTAACAAAGCCCACAGAGTCAACACTTGTTATAACAAAGTCATCCACATACACAAGAAGGACAATGAAACCTGCTTTAGTATGTTGATGAAATACTAAATGATCTGTCTGGCATCTGCGAAGACCAAATTTGAATGCCGCCTCAGAGAATTTTCCAAACCAAGCCCTTGGTGATTGTTTCAAACCATAAACAACTTTCTTTAAGTGACAAACACTATACTGATACTCCCCCTGAGCAACAAACCCAGGTGGTTGCACCATAAAAACCTCTTCAACTAAGTCGCTATGTAAAAAAACATTCTTACCATCCAATTGAAATAGGGGCCGATTACGATTAGCAACAAGAGAAATAAGAACTCGAATCGACTAAATCTTTGCAACAGGGGAAAACGTTTCATCATAATCAACACCATAAGTTTGTGTGTACCCCTTCGCAACCAACCGCGCCTTTAAACGCTCAATAGAACCATCTTGAAGGTATTTCACAGTGTACACCCATTTACAACCAACAGGTTTGATACCAAGAGGCAAAGGAACAAGATCCATTGTCCCATTACGATGGAGGGCATCCATTTCATCTTCCATTGCTTTTCTCCAACGAGGATCAGAAAGAATATCCTGCACATCTTAGGAACAAGGGTATCAGACAGTTGGGATGAAAAACATAAGAAAGAGGGTGATAAATAATTATATGAGACATAGTTAGTAATAAGATGATGAGTAACACAAAACCGAATACCCTTACGTTGAGCAATAGGTAAAGAGTCAGACGTAAAAGACGGTGCAGGATCCAAAGACTCCGAAGAAGGTGGCTGAAGCATGGTAGGCGGCTTAGGTCGCCTTGTGTAAACCTGTAATGGAGCAGCAAATTGGAGAGGAGCCGGGCTAGGAAACAGTTAGGGAAGAGGAAAAGGAATAGGTGGCAAAGCCGGCTCAGGAGTAAAATCAACAGGAGAACTATAGTCTGAAAAATATGGAACGGATTCACAAAAGGAGACATCTGCACTAGTGAAGTATTGCTGAAGAGTAGGACTGTAACAACAATAGCCCTTCTGAGATCGATAATACCCAAGAAAAACACATTTAGTGGCACATGGATCAAATTTGTCAAAACCAAGTCCAAGGTTATGGACATAACATACACACCCAAAGACTCGAGGAATAAGATTGAACAAGGCTGAATCAGGAACAAGGATAGAATGGGGAGATTTCCCTTGCAACACAAAAGATGACATTCGGTTAATGAGATGACAGGCGGTAAGGACTGCATCGCACCAAAATCGTTTAGGGACATGCATATGATATAAAAGAGCACTCGCCACTTCCAAGAGATGATGATTTTTATGTTCAACCACTGTTTTGTTGTGGGGTATAAGTACATGAGGTTTTATGAATAATGCCTTTAGCACGAAAAATGTATTAAAAGGATCAGATGCATATTCTTTGGCATTGTCGGAACGCAAAACTTGAATGGAACATCCAAACAAAGTTTTAATTTCTTTACCAAAAATTTGAATGATAGAAAATAGCTCAGACCGATTTTTCATTAAGAACAACCAAGTCATGCGAGAATGATCATCCACAAATGTCACAAAATAACAAAATACATTACTAGAAATGTGCTTTATTGGACATCATTTATCTAAATGAACTAAAGCATTGGTCACACGTTTATTAACTCGAGGTTTGAAAGATACACGATGATGTTTACTAAGCTGAAACGCTTCACATGACAAGACAAAACACGATTAGACAAGGGACTTGACACTGCAAAACTGGAAGTGAAGGGTGGCAAAGACAACAATGCCACTGAAATGGAGATAGAGATGACTGAAGATCCTTAAAGTACTGCTCAAAATTGAAGTAATAAAAACCACCTACTTCATACCCCGTACCAATCTTCCTTTTCGTCTTGAGATCCTGAAAAACACAAAACAAGAGATAAAATGTAACGAAACACTGAAGAGTTTTAGTTGTCTTACTAATAGACATCAAATTAAAAGGAAATTTAGGAATATATAAAACATAAGAAAGAGACACAGAAGAACTAAGATGAGTTGTCCCTAAACTTGAAACCTTTGACGTTGAACCATTAGCAAGAGTAACACTTAGACAAGGAGCAATAGACTGAAAATCAAATAAAATGTAAGAACTACCAGTCATATGGTCTGACACGCCAGAGTCAATAATCTAAGGACTATGAGTGGAACACAATAGATATGCATATGTACCACCTCATTGAGCAAAAAAAGCCATGGAAGATGAGGTGGGTGTCCGTTGTTGAGACATAAGCTCAGCATACACATCGCGTGGGATAATGATCATATCAAATTCAACAACTTGATGAGAACCAATAGGTGAATGAGGACCCTCGTCAAGCTTGTACGCACTCTCCACCAAACTAATGGGCCAAAAGTCCTTCGCATCCATAGCACCACCCTTCTTGGGGATAAGGGCGACGCATGATGCATTCCAACTCTTCACAAAACTATGATGACAATGGAAATGATGAAAGGCCGCCATAATCTCTCCTCTGGCTCCTTGTTCGCATTGCAGTTGTTTAGAGCCAACTGAACCTCCTCTCCCTAAACGGACTCTCCAACAACTCTATCCACATCCAAAATGTGATCAAACTCCAAGCCGACAAACTAAGGTCTCCAACCCACTCCCTCCAAATACAATTTCCAGTAGAAGGTGGTGATACCCCTACTAATCACCTCCTCCTTACACAACAAGTCTCCATGAACATGAATTCTTCCAATGTGATTGCTCCTCCAACGAGCGTTAGTCGTTCGATGAAAGAATTTTGTTTTCCTGTCTCCCTCCTTAAGCCACAAGGTTCTAGATTTCTAATGCCAAATCTCCTCCCTAAAGGCAATCTCCACCTTGCATTCCTTCCTCCAACACCTATCCCCCTCCACTAACCCCCTCTCCTCCTCCCTGTCGTCTAGCTCCGGCTCAACAATCTCATAAAGAAGTTTGTTCTTCCTCCAATCCAGCCTCCCGATTCCACTTCTTCATATCTTCCTTCAAGAGCCGAAGCTTATTGACAACCACATAAAGAGTGCCTCTCACAACATAACCTTTCCACCAACTACTAACTCTATCTTTGATGTCCACTGCCCAAAGCCACATATTCTCAAAGCTGGACGGAGTCTTCCCCCACTGCTCAACCCACCAAATCCAACAACAAAGGAGTGTGATCCGAAACCGGCCGACCTAGCGCCACCCGAGCCATATCCGGAAATCTCTCCCTCCACCACCTATCCCCCTCCACTAAACCCCCTCTCCTTTTTCCTGTTGTCTAGCTCCGGCTCAGCAATTTCATAAAGAAGTTTGTTCTTCCTCCAATCCAAACTCCCAATTCCACTTCTTCATGTCTTCCTTCAAGAGCCGAAGCTTATTGCCAACCACATAAGGAGTGCCTCTCACAACATAGCCGTTCCACCAACTCCTAACTCTAGCCTTGATGTCCACTGCCCGAACCCACATATTCTCAAAGCTACACGGAGTCTTCCCCCTGCTCAACCCACCAAATCCAACAACAAAGGAGTGTGATCCGAAATCGGCCGAGCTAGTGCCACCGAGCCATGTCCGGAAATCTCTCCCAAGAAACTGTCCAAGTGAGAGAGAGTGGGGGCCTATGTGCTACTTATCCACGTAAACAAAGCACCCTCCAATGGTAAATTAATCAGTTGCTAAGTATCTATGAACTCTGAGAACTGCACCATAGCCGAAGTCCACCTCCCTCCTGCAGATATCTCAGCTGGGGACCTAACCACATTGAAAGCCCCGCCCACACACCACGGACCATCCCACCTCCTCCGCACAATCCCTAGCTCATCATATTTAAGGGTTGTAGATAGCTTTATTTCCTCCATTGTTATGACTATATTCCATTAACAAATGAGGAAATAAAGCTATCTACAACCCTCAAAACTGACCCAATAGCCCATATAGCAAATAATCGGCATGATCCCTAAAGCTCCGTTGACAAAGGAGGAAATAAAGCTATCGACAATCCTCAAAACTGACCCAATAGCCTATATAGCAAATAATCGGCATGATCCCAAAAGGTGCAATAATTTTCAAATTTTGCATGCCCTTAAAAGGTCCATAAAATATAAAGAAAATGGTAGGTCGTATACACTATAAATAATACACTATTTCATGCTTATAACAAAAGAAATCTAAAAAACATACATCATATAATAAACACACCATGCACAACAACACTTCAAAAATTCAAAGCATCAAAAATATCAGTACCTTCCAATTTAACCTTACTCAAGTAAATCTCGAGAAACACAATTAAATGCCAAAGACACCTCACCAAGTAAGATTCTGTGCGACTAACCATTGCAAGTATTTTGCATCAAAGATTGCAGTTCTCAATGTTCTAAAATACATGCCATCTATTTTCAATTTTCATATAACAAATAACAATTATACTTGTGTACCATCAATTGCATATCCTAACGTTAAGAAAAGAAATAGCATCCTGGTAAATATCTCATTTTTCCAAATCCAACAAAGAAGAGAGCAAAATTTTTTGTTTGATCAGCAATCGATGCAACAGAAGAAAGCAGTAAGAAATTAAACAAAAGGTGCAGAAGGGACAATGAAACAGTAACATCGGAGCAAAACTCATCACAAGAAAGTCTCAACAGAAAATGAAGTACTAAGCAATATGAAGATTTTACCGTTTCCGAAGATTGTCTAGTTTTAGACTTTCATATATTCCATGCAGAGAATCCAAAATCTCCACCAAAAGCTCGAAGTAAAATGATTTCTCTGCGCTTTGTGTCATATATGATCTAGAAGAATCAGACTCCTGCAGGTCAAGTGAGGTTCTAGAAATCCCAGTTATAAAATTAGTTTTACAGTATTTCTTGTGAAATGTGCTATGTATAAGAAACTCCCATGATGAATGTTGAGCAAAATCTGAAAGGCATCGGGTATTGAATCCAGACTCTCTACACATTTTCATTATAATATTACTAAAACACTCCCATTCAGAATCGACACTAGCATCTGCTGAAGATAAATAAGCCGAATCACCATCAGCCCAAAGAAGAAGGAGAAAATGATTATAAAATCTGTAACTGAGGCCCTCAGCCATTGCAGCGATGCAATCATCTACCAAAGAAGATGAAGGGCTTCTTCGCAAAGTACATCTAAAAATCTGGACAAAAAATAGAACAGAATAAAATTTTAAAGGTCATGAAAATAGCTCCCAAGACAGTTTCAATGGAACGCATATAAACATCTATATAAAATCAGAGCAAGAACTTTAATGGATACATTTTTCATAATTGTCTAGCACTTTCCCCACTGGCAATTTCAATTTCTAAAAAGCATTTTCTACATCATTAGTGTGCTGTCTATTGGAATAATGTAAATAAAGATATAGGTGCATTTGAAGTCTGCTTGAGATGATTTAAAGAAGGAGGCAAGACATCGAGCTCCAGTCCAAGAGCAGATGGGCTGGCCCGACAAAATCTCCATGACCTATCCAATGGGGCCCCTCAATCCTAAACTTACACGGACAACCCTCCCCAGAAAGCGCAAGGACCTCGTATGATCAGTCATAAACCAAGAGTTCTCTGTTCTCCTATGTCACCAAGATTGTTCTCAACATTTTCCAAATAGACAATGTTACTGAAAAGGCAGCGTCATCGAATTGCCCTATAACAAGAGGGTGGCACACTTCAATCTAATTCCCAGACATATATATATATATATATATATAGAGAGAGAGAGAGAGAGATTTTTACTTAAGGATGACATAAGCCTCATCACGTGGCAACCTAAGGACTGCCCACGATGATAAAATTAACAAGCATAAGTTACTTGATACATGTAAACTTTCCATTGCATTATTGGAAGCTTGCAAGAGAAGTCAGCCACCATATCTGTCCCTAGAGCATCTAGACGTCCAGTCTGATCTAGTCTCTAATCCGACCAAAGTCCCCAAGTACGGATGGCAATTTCCCCCGCCCCGGCGGTTTCCGCCTCGCCCCTAATGGGGTGGATTTGGAAGCCCCCTAAATGGGTTTGGGGCGACTATGGTAAAATAATTAAAAACCCGAAGCAGGTTTGAAGCGGAGGCGGATTTAGTGATAAACCCAACCCCACCCCCACCCCGATTATATATGTACCACTAAAAATTTTTTATATACAGAAAATATTAAATATTATATATATATATATATATATATATATATAAAATTTTTAAGACCCTTGTTACTTTGCTACAAGTGTCAGTTAATATATTAATGTTCACAACTTAGTAATTTAAAAGTTGAGCTAGCTTCTTTATCAGCCCAATTTTAGCACATTGGGCTAAATTTTTTTACTAAATAATAAAAGTGGCATAACCCGCCCCGCCCCTACAATTAAATGAGTACGAGGGGCAAAGTCCGTACTTTGTCCACCGGAGTAAAAGCGGGGATGGTATAACAATTACAAACCCGTCCCAAAGTCGGGACAGAGTTGGTATAACGAATTTTCTAACAGGGCGGAGTAGGGTTTAGCGAAACCTGCCCCAACTCTGCCCCGTTGACATCCCTATCCCCAAGTGCATGTAGAGACACTTCATGGTTTCGATGGGAAGCAAGCCCTAATAAAAAGACCAGATTGCTATGTCGCCATGAGCACCACCTTGTCCATCTCGACTACAAACAGGACCTATCCAATAAAAGGAAGATAGGAATCAATGGATAGGTGACAAGGCACTGACCAGGTTAAGTCTGATGTTAAACAACACTGACATCCCTCTTTCTATCTCTAAATTAGCCTTCAACTTCACCCTAGCCATCTCATTTTATTTTCTCATTCCACGTAACCCTAGGCCAACACACTTCAAAATGACTGACACATGGAATTGACATCCATACCCAATCTACCAGCATCTTACAGTATATTCAATGATAAATGAGTCAAAAGGAAAGACATCACACATTTAATTTATAACATATGAAAATATAATAAACATGTCGCGTGCAGTACCTGTACCCAGTATTGATCCCACCTACATGTTTAAGAGGAAAAAATAGGAGACAGACTAAAACCCGCCATTGATTTGCACAAAGTAACTGCACCTAAACTCGAATCCTTGTCCTCAAGCTTCTTCTTCTTCTTTTTTTTTTTTTTTTTTTTGATAAGTAAGAATTCATTGAAGAGCACCCAATTGGGGGACGTTGCCCAGAACAACTGCGCAAAAACTATAGCCTCAAGCCATCCACAAAAGACTAAAAGCAACTCCATAGACTTGCAATTAGAACCCTGAACCCAAAAGAACAGAGAACTTAGAAAAAAATATCGGAACACCCCCAAGACGCCTCCACCTCATCAAATGATCTACTATTCCTCTCCTTCCATAACGCACACCACAAGCAGAGGGGGGTTGTCCTTCACGCATTTGTAACTTGGAGACGCACGCGGCAACCTCCCCAAGCGTCAATCAAGCACACCGCGGACTCTAGCATGACCCACTGGATCCAAAAAATGGGTTGTGACACAACAAATCCCAGTCATACATAGCTCTAGCGCAACGAAGAAGAAGATTATCAGATGACTCCACTCCCCTCTAACACATACAACACCAATTGACAATAATTTGACGTCTCCTTCTCAAGTTGTCAATAGTCAAGATCCTCCCCAAAGCAGTTGTCCAACCAAAAAAGATCACCTCCAGGGGGGCTTGCAAAGCCAAATGCCTTTCCATGAAAAGGTCATCCCCTGAGTATCCATCAAGCAGCAATAAAATTAGTGGACCTCAAATCTCCCATGGCTTGTACCCTCCAAAAGCCACTCATCCGTCCCCTCTCCAGTAATAGTCAAGCATGGCCAAAAACTCAACCATCTCCTCCACCTCCCAATAATGCAGATTTCTCTCAAACCTCATGTCGCAAGACAATCTCCTGCCATCAAGATGATAGCAATGAGCGACCATCACCACCTTATCAACCGCAATCCCAGCTAGTCTCGGAAAGACTCGGAAGTGGCCTCTAACCGCACAAACGGTCATCCCAAAAGTTGGCGAGATGCCCGTCCCTCACCCCGTAATAGATATGCTTGGAGAATTCATCCCAACCCTTCCAGATGCTCTTCTACAAGCCAACTCTCGCCGGGGACCTCATCAACAAAGAGCACCACCCTCAAGCTTCTTTTATTTCCAAGAAACTACTACTACCAGTTTGAAAGAGACTTCAGGACTTAAAAAAAATTTAAGAGCAACCCTCCTGTTTTTTTTAAGATTTCAGGACTAGATACGCCACAATATGTGGGAGTTTGTGTGTCAATGTAAACATTAAAAGTTGGGGGAAAAAAATCTTTGCAGCTAGACATATGATGCCAATGTTGTCCTATACGTTATCTGGAACGTAATTCATTTTTAAGAAGTTTGAAAGGCAAAAAGACACTTGGTTATTGTAGAAAAAAATTAACAAACTATGGCCCGTATTTCAGCTCATTTGTTTCAAAAAAATGTTTTACAGCAGAAAATATTTTTCACGTAAAAATATTGCAGAGACAAAAAAAGAAAAAAAAAAATCTTCTTATTTTCCGCTATTTGATTGAATTTTAAAAATAATTTACTAATTCTTAGAAAATGCCTAAGAAACATTTATATAAGCATGTATTTAGTTGTGAAAACAAATATATATATATATATATTAGTTTAAATATGGGTTGATATATAAGCATGTATTTGAGTATGTACAAAAATACACAAGTACAAATATACCTTCAGTACATATGAAGCAAAGAACTACTTGCAACTAAGTAATTTTGAGCTAAACAGCAAATTCAAATAACTCATCGTGGTATCATGTGGTTGAAACAGAAATAGATAGGTTGGAAGATGAATCAAAAACAACAAAAGCGCTCTTACAAACACCCACTCATGCATTGTGTGATAATAAAAGACAGAAATCTCGCAAATGGGCTAAACAGTGACAAATGGTGATACAACTAGAAATTTCAAAGTACTACAACTTCAGATAACAAATAATAAATTAAACGTACTTGTGGAATAAAGTACCTGTCCGTTATTTACTATAATATTGATACGCCCTTCAACAGCATCAGCCAACCCAACGATTTTCATATCATGCAGAACATATGGCATTTCCAAAGGCTTTAAATTATCTGAAAGCTGACCTTTAGCCAAACAAGAGGGTAACAAATATCTACACAAGCATTGCCTCCCAGACTGCAGTTACAAAGGGTTTGTTGTAAAGCAAAAAAACGGAAGCGAAGAGATAAATAAAACAAGTAGAACACACATATTACGTGGTTCAGCCACTAGGGCCTACATCCGCGGCACAGAGCCCAAAGGGCTACATCACTTTTATAATACTCTCTCAATTCATATACAATACAATGGTGGAGGCTCCTTTATATAGGAGAAGAAATTATGAGAATGAAAAGAATTAGAAAATAGGAAAAAGGAGGAATTTTCTCCATTGTTTCCTCTAGTAACACCAAATCTTCAATAATAGGAAACAACATCAATTACTGAAAGATTTTCCTCCACTGATTCCTCCATTAAATCTTCACTAGGGTTCATATTTGCAAAATATAAACATTTAGCAGCATAAGAATGAGTAAAAGACAAATCAAAGTTACAGAAGCAATAACTTGAGACAGGGAAAGAGAGTTAAATAATGATGAGAATACTTTCAGAACAAAAATTTAATAAAACAAAACAAAAACATATTCTTTTTGGCCAACAGTAAGAATTGAACTCCTAAAACCACCCATCCCTTTTGATGCTATGAAACAATACACCATGCTCCTAAAATGGTTAAGCATACTGCCCACAAAATATAACAAAAAGATAATAAGCAGAATAGACCTTTAAGACGTGAAAATTTATCCAAAAGAGAACTTCTCTTAGCTTCTTCCCCCCACCCCCTTTTTTTTTTTGGGTGGGGGGGAGGGGATAATAGTAAATGAGGGAACGGGTGACTTAGAAAGCGCTGAACTATAGGAAATTGGGAAGGGGGAAGAGGGGGGGGGGGGGGGGGGGGGGGGTGGGTGGGGGGTGGGGGGTGGGGGGTGTGGTGTGGAGAAAGTAAGCATCTTAATATCATTTAGGCCAAAGGTGACATTTAACATAACAATCAGTGGCTGACAAATGATAATCAATAACTATGAGCCACTGATGTAAGAAACTTACATAAAGAAGAAGGGTGTTTTCTGAAGACAGAACAATGATGTCTTTAAATGGCAGTGCTCCCATCCTCGCTCTAAATTTAAATAAAAAGAAAAAAGGGGATATGTCAATAAGATAATTACAATTACTGAGAATAAAACAATGTAATAAACTGAATTCTACCTTGGACGAGTTACAATCACAGGCGCTGCCCCAATTGCAGGTATGCTCCAGCTCATGTCAGGTTTAATATCAAAGAGGATCTCATTATTTATTTCTACACTTCGAAGCCCCACTGACAACAACTTTCTTTGTTCTTGAAGAAGAAAACAAATAATAGGCGCTGAATCATCATCAGTTGCAAGAAAAACCTGGTAAAACCATTTCAGGGCAGTTGAAATAAAAAGAGACTAAACATTTTGCTGTAAGAGGCTCAAAATAAAGCAGTACAATCATATCAAGATCAAGTCAATGCAATGTTTAAGCACCAGCTGTGGAGAAAAGAAAAACACTTGCAGCATGGAAGGTCAAGGATGCCAGAGGTCAGGTCTGAAACAGAGCAAACCCCAAACTCATCCAGCCTGCATAAGGTAGCTCCATCCTGACCCATCTTCAATTTGAAAGAGGTTCTATATTCAAGCCCACTGGGATGGGCAACGAGTAGCTGCAGATGGCAACGTAGTCGATTAGATGGATAATCTACCCTAACAAGGCACTGGTGGCAATGCAGTGGTGGGTTTGAGGTTTACAGGGACTACAAAACCCAACTCCAGTTTAAGGTGGGCTGGTGGTGTTTTGTTTAGGGAGACATTACGAAACTTTCCTGAAGCTCCGAACAAAAATAAATAAAAAATGAAAACCAATTATACACTTATAAGTAAGGCCAGGAACTCGACCATCTCCTCTATCTCCCAATTATGCAAAAGCCTCTAAAACTGGACGTCCCAGAACACTCTCCCGCCATCAAGATGGTAGCAGTGAGCGACCAGCACCATCCTATCAACCGCAATCCTAGCCAGCCTCGGAAAGACTCCCAAGCAGCCGCTCCCCGCCCCATTGATCCTCCCAAAAGCTCACTAGACTCCCATCCCTTAACATAAAACGGATATGCTTGGAGAACTCATCCCAACGGATGGAGAACCGAACATAGCCCGAAATCTTGAACATGCGTGTCGCCTCTACTATTGGAGACGTGGCAAAGATAGATAATTAAGATTACCTTCCATTTAATATTATTATTATATTAGTATGTTTTGATTTTAGGGATGCTTAGTAACTTAGTATTTTGGGGTTTTATATATTGTAGTAGGATTTGATTAGGGTTTTCTTCTTCTTCTTCTTCTTCAACACTTCATCGCTCGCTCATCTATCTTGCATCACCAACCCTTCTGAATGAACCTCCACAAGCCAACCCCAATTGGGGATCTCAACAAGAAAGAGTACCACCCCCCTCTGGTCTCCCCATGCCTACATAAGATGACTCTCCTCCAAAGTTTGTGCCTTTCCACCCCAAATCTCCACAACCACTTGCCCAACAGAGCTTTGTTGAACAAATCTAACCTTCTCACCCCCAAACCTCCAGCCTGAATGGGTGTACAAATTTGCTCCCACTCCACAAGATGATATTTGAACTCATCACCCATACCACCCCACAAGAACTACCTCTGCAGTCTCCCCAACCTCCTTTCAACAACTGCTGGAAGCAGAAACAAGGACATGAAATAGGTAGGGAAGCTCGAAAGGGTGTTCTTCAGCAAAGTCAGGTGCCCCCATTTTGAACTGCTTTTTCCAGCCGGGAAGCCGCCTCTCAAACCGCTAAACAACTGGATCACAAGAAGCAGCTCTCCTTGCCTGAAACCCCAAAGGTAAGCCCAGTAGACCAACAGAAAAGCCCTGACCCTACAACTCATAATGTGGACCAGAACATCAATCCCCTCCACCTCCCCCACAGGAACAATCTCGCTCTTCCCAAGATTAATTTCAGCCCCAAAACCACTTGGAAGCATGCCAAGCCCCCTCTCAAATGCCTCAATTGACTCACCTTATGATGAAGAACCAGGCATGATCCGAGAGCTTGATATACACATGGCCCACACTTACTATTGGGAAAATGGGAAAGATAGATGTGTTGTAAAGCATAAAATGGAAGTGAAGAAATAAATAAAATAAGTAGAACACACAGATATTACATGGTTCAGCCACTAGGGCCTACATCCACGGCACTAAGAGCCCAAAGGGCTACATCAGTTTTATAATACTCTCTCAATTCATACACAATAAAATGGTGGAGGCTCTTTTATATAGAAGAAGAAATTATTAGAATGGAAAGAATTAGAAAATAGGAAACAAAGAGGATTTTTCTCCACTGATTCCTCTAGTAACACCGAATCTTCAATAAGAGGAAACAACATCAACTGCTGAAAGATTTTCCTCCACTGATTCCTATATTAAATCTTCAATACTCCCCCTCAAGTTGGAGCAAGAATGCCCAGCTTGCCATTGAGATGACGAGTAACAACAAGTGTGAATGATGACGTGAGAAGAGAGAAGACGAAGAACAATGCTACCGAACGCACCAACAACCCAAACAAGTCAACAAAAAACTGCCGAAGACACAACAAAGACGAGGACAATGCTACCGAACACACCGGTGATAAGCGCCGAATATTTCATATTCAAGCGCCCTTAATTGCATGTTTTAGTCTATTTTGTATATCAATGAAGTGTATTTTACAGGCTTTTGTGTGTTTTGTCTCTTTTCAAAACTTTTCTCCAAAAAGGAATAAAAGCAAGGTTTTACGGGATCTCAAGCGGCATGGGTCATGGCGAGCTGAAGAATCAACCAAAATAGGTCTTAGGATCATTAACAAGCTCAGCTTGAGGAAGGAAGTCAACCCGAGAAGCCTGGCAAGGATGATGAAAGGCATTTCAGAAAAACAAGGCTGCGTCCAGACGCAGCTACCAAGAACAATCTTGGCGTCCGGACGCCTTGTGGAAACTTGGCTCAGCAATTGCAATTCGAAGAAATAAAAATTCCAGTAGCCAAAGGAATTTGCGTCCAGACACCCATCTCTACGTCCGGATGCCCCATGCCAGAGGCTGCAACAATAAGAACACATTGCGCACAAGGAGGCCAGCATTGACAAGCTGCGTCCGGACGCCCACCTGCGAATAAATGAGCTGATTTAGATTTTCAGTTTTATAACTCTCTCCTCCACTTGAATGCACGATTTTTAGGAAAGTTTGAACTCTAGTCTGACTATGGAGAGCTGTTATATATCTCTCTATATTGTAGATTTTGATATATTCAATTTTTGTATCATTTTTAGAGAGAGTGAGTGAGGAAAAATCAGGGTTCTTGTGTGTGCAAAGGAGGGGCTGCTATAGGCCTGAAACTGGAGGCTTCTTCTTCATTCCTTGAAGCTTCTGCCATGTCCAGGATGAGCTAAATCTTCTCCTAGGGGATTGAGGTAGCCTTCACCAAGTAATCATGTAGTAATTTGCTTTTAAATTTCGGGAATTATATTGTATATAACTGATTTCATAAATTAGAAGATGCGTGACATTGAATTGATGTTTTTACATTGGAATGATGTATGTGATTTGCATTCCTATATATGATTATGTTGATATGTATCTCTTGTCTTAGACATCATGCTTACATAATTATACACTTGAATTTCTCATAGTGACAATGAGAACGGATTTATGAAATGGTTTTATTGGCATGATATGTGAGAATTTGGATAGATTATGCTAAGGGAAGATGGACTATGCTACACCTTTAGATTAATTTAGTTAGGTAGATGGTCCATGCCTACTGAAGATAGTTTATACTAGATGCTTCAATTTCATGTACTTAAATTTACAATTTCAAAACGTTGATAGGCCATGCCTAGGGAAGATGGTTCATACCACAATTTAGTTTAGGTGGATAAGTCATTCCAACCAAAGATGGATTATGCTTAGTTCTGAATTATATGAATTTCTAGAAAATGTTGTGGTTGTCTTATCCTTCTACACATCATAGTTATATATAATTGTTTTTCCCCAAGTTGATTGCATATAAGCATGTTTATGAGGTCTCGGTGAATTCAATTCCCTAGTCTCCTCTCTTTATTTATTCAAATCATTGAATTCAATTTAAATTCTGTTTTAGGTTTAATTTTATGTTAAGTGACAAACCAATCATCAAACCAACTTGTTTTCTATCAAACTTGAAAGTAATCTTAGAATCTTGATTGCCATAAGCTAGTAATCTTCGTGGATCGATAGCCCTTGCTTACCCATTTTCAACAAGAATTTGTACTATAGATAGTGGTTTTATAATTGATACACTAAGTGCACATCAATTTTTGGCACCGTTGTCGGGGATTGCAAACTGCTTTGTGATCAAGATTTAAAGATTAAATCTAGTTTGATTCTTAGTTTAGGATTTGTACATAGTTTGGTTTAATGTTTGTGTGTTGTTGAGCGTTTGAAATTAGGTATAGAAACTACTACACTTGGAGGTGACAATCTGCAAATCATTTGGACTTCGGGTAAGTTTTTGTATACAATTCTTGCGTTCATTTTGTTTTTGTATCTATTTTGTGTGATTTTTTTTTTATGTATCGAAACAAGTGGCTGAATTGGCCCTAAATAGCGGGTAATCATCCTCCAACTCATTTTTACATACCACATGAGTTATGTGCATTTTGCTTTAGTCATACACATGATACAAGGGATTGTCCTACAACGGGACAATTTTCTGATTTTTATCAAGAATAAGCAAATGCAGATTTCTTTGAACTGGGGAACGATCCATATTTCAATCATTATGACCCGGGTTGGGAAGATCATCAAAACTTTTTATGGCATGATATGGAAAATTCAGCCCTACAATCTCATAGGCAACATTGTCAATCAAATTTTTATCCCAATGATACAGGAATTAAGTTATCTATTCTGAACACTTTCTTTCTTTTTTGGCTTCGGGGGAGAAATTGTAAATTGATAGGGGAGATAGTGGATTTTCTGGATATGTTAAGAGTTTAGGGGGCCGATTTGAACCGTGTAATTCTTTTCAGGATGCCCGGTAGGGCGTGCTTTTTTGATACTTAGTCCAAAAAAAATACCGACTTTTCTCATAGTGAAAATTTTTCAGTGGCCATGAAAATTACAGCAGAGAAATCTGAAGAAAAAAAAAAAAAAAAAAAAAAGCCCTAAAACAGAGTAAAAAATAGCACAAGTACAGTGGAGGAAAAACTAAGGATTTAAGAAGAGAAAATGCGAAGAACGAAATTAGGGAATCTACCAATTCAAGAAAGAACAAAAAAGAGAGGGGAAAAAAAAAAAAAAAAAAAACGAAGAAGAAATACAGTGAGTGAGG